CCCTTCAGAGAGTTGGTGTGGACTTGTTGGGCTGAATGGCCTGTTCCCACACTAGGGATTCTATGATTCTATGAAGAGGAGTAGACTCTTTCGAGAAAGAAGGGTCTAGGCCCGAAACGTCAGCTTTCCTGCTCCTCTGATGCTGCTTGGCCTGCTGTGTTCATCCAGCTCTACACTGTTCTGAGCTGTGATAAATGCAAGTCCTTCTTTCTCCCAAATCCTTTCCATTACAGCCAGCACAGAGGTTGTTAAAACTGACAAAATGCCAATATTTTCTTTTGTGATGATGATCATGCATTCTATCAACCTTTCCACTCTATGTAGCATCTATTAGAGGTAATCATTTCCTCTGTATGCAGTCCTTTCTCCAACTCGTTCTACAATGGAGAGCTGCCTACAGTGGAATGAAGCCCTGATTCAGTCAGATTTTCTTTACAAATGTCAGACTTCATTTTCCAGCAGCTTGAAGACTTGCCACACTGCTGGTCACCCCGTGCCCTAGTTATTGCTGCACTCACTCAGTGTCTACTTGACAAGAGTGTATTGCAGCATGCTGCAAGATTTGATAAGATAATTTCTGTTCTCATGTTTGGTTTGCATTCCTCAATCAATACCTTTTGATTGCTACTTGCCATGGCTTGGCCAGCAGTCAGAATCTTACGGGGTTTCAGCCCTGCTGCAGAGGATTGACCATAAAATCTAGACTAACACAGCAGTTCAGTGCTGAGTGAATCATCGTTGGAAGTGCTAACTTTTGAAAGTGTTATTAAACTGAGGCACTGTAATCACTCTGAGTGGAGGAATAGATTGTATAGCACTATTTTGAATAAATACTGGGGATTTATCCTCTGTGTCCTGGCCAATATTTATCCCTCATTAAAACCTTATTAACACAGATTGACTGACCGTGATAATATTGTTTGAGGAGCTGAGGCAGAACTGAGGAATTCACCGGACCGAAACTTCTGTTTTTATTTCTCATTTACAGCATCCACAGTTCTTTCTGTTTTTATACTTCATATGATATCTCTCCAGCCAAGACTTGCTTTGAGGTGTCCGTATGTCATGAAAGGTGCTGTATAAATGTAACTTTTTCTTTATGTTGTATGTTGTATGGTTCAGTAGCAAAGAAAAGGGAGTATGATTCTGTTCTCAAAAACTATTGTCAGTGCAATTATTCAGAATTTCATTGCTACATTAAATATCAGAATCAAAAACCAATAGTGCAACAGATGAAGGCAACAATTATTTACAATTACAAAAGAAAAATATCCATTTGAAAGCTATTATTTTGTGATCAATGAAGCTAACTTTTTTTTATAGCCAGATGCAAGTACAGTCAAGACATACTTGGCTTTATTGCTGATTTGAACTGAGAATAGGTCACAATAGGCAGAATGGATCATTCACCTTCCTGCTTCTTTGTTGACCTAATTTACGCTCAGATAAGCTTCAGTAAATGATGATATATTTGATCCGCTGTTCATGGCTAAAATAAGTGAGTGGTACATTTTATAGACGATGAGAGAAACTAAAAATTTCAAAGAGCAGATGATTCTGTATGTGAAAAAGAAAACTTCAAACATTTCCCAGGCAATGTTGACATCCTTGTCTCTACCCTAATAAAAACTGAAAGAGCTCTGGATGCTGTAAGTCAGGAACAAAAACAAAGTTACTGGAAAAGCTCAGCAGGTCTGGCAACATCTGTGAAGGAAAAAACAGAGTTAACGTTTCAGTTCTGAGGAAGGGTAACCAGACCCGAACCATTAACTCTGTTTTTTCCTTCACAGCTGCTGCCAGACCTGCTGAGCTTTTCCAGCAACTTTGTTTTTGTTTCTTGTCTCTACCCTGCTGGGATAGGCATTTGATTCCAGTCAAAACATTGCTGGAATTCTCTCTACTATTTGTAAGGGTCCCAGGTGAAAGGGATTCAGAGTCTGAACCCAGTACCTAGCAGGTGTATTGTACAAAATTGACCATGATCATAATTGAACTAATGCCAATTCACAATTAGTCAGAAATAGAGACCTCAAATGAAAATTACTTTTAGCACAGAGCCAGCCATCAGAAATGAAATGTGAGGGTACGGCAAAAGTTTTAAGTAGTTTTTAAATAGGCAGGCTGGTAGCTTGGGAGGACATATAACAAATTAGGTGTGTAGTAGTACATTTTGGTAGAAGGAATGAGGAGAGGCAGCATAAAATCACAAGCAGATTTCTGATGCGGTAGAAAGACTTTCAGGATATGTACAGAAATTGTTGGAAGTTACAGGGCTGGTTGAGAAAGTGGTTGGAAAGACATATGGGTTCTCGGGTTTTATAAGTAGAGCACAGAGAATAAAATAACTAGATAGTTATGTTGATTCATTATAAAACTCTGGTTTAGCCCCAACTCAAATATTGTGTCCGAGGCATCTTATTTTTGGAAGGATGTGAAGAAAGGATGCAGAAAAGATTTATAGGAACACTTCTAGGAATGAGGGAATTCAGTTATGTGAGTACATTGGAAAGCTGGGATTTTTCTCCTGGGAGTAGAGAAGATTGAGAGCAGATTTCATAATATAGTCAAGAATCTTGAGTATTCTAGATGGGACTTTTGGAGAGAAATTGTTCTCATAAAGTTATACAGCAGAGAAACAGATCCTTTGGTCCAAACAATCCATCATTGACAAGGGGAGTCAAAGGTTAATGGGGGCAGACAGGAAAGTAGAGATGAGAATCAGATCAGCTGCAATAATTCAGGAAGCCCAACTGGAAAAGAACATCATTTATTGTTGAATACGAAAATAGAGGCACTACTTGTGGTGTGCAAAGACTAGTCCCAGCCTGAGACAAACAGTTCTGCAGACTTATATACCCGGGTCTGCTTTATCTTTTTTTTTAATATCTGAAGTGCTTTCACACTTAACCAAATGGTTTTTCCACCACCAAATCATTATGACTTGTAAAAATTATTTTTAACTATTAACCACCACCGGTAAATGACCCATCTAGCCAATTAAATATTTAGAAGCAGATCCCATTACGGGCAAAGGGACCATCAAAGGTGAAGGGGACATAGGGAGAGCAGGAAAGAGATGGTGGTGGAAATGAAGTTGGTGGGGGAAATAAAGCACTCCACTTACTGCGGTACCACCACTCTCTCAAGATATTGAGAGTATTAGATCTGCTTCACAGATATTTTTTAATCAACCTGTTCGGAGATGTTATGCATACCTCTGGAGCAAGTCGGGCTTGAACCACGGACTCCTGGCTCAGAGGTAGGGGCGCTACTATTGCACCACAAGAGCCCTCCTGGATCTGCTTTGTTTTCTAAACTACCTGTTTACAGATGGTATTACATACCTTTGGAAAATATGAGACTTGAATTTGGGCTTTCAAGCTCAGAGGTAGGGATATTACCACTGTGCTGCATGAGACTTTTGGGTTTGCTTTAATTTTAACTCAACCTGTTCAGAGATGTTATTGCACACACCTTTGGTGCTGGTGGGATTTGTACCTGGGCCTCCTGGCTCAGAGGAAGGGACACTGCTGCTGCACCACAAGAGCCCTTTGGGTGTGCTTTGTACTTATTTTTAATCACGCACGACCAGAAAGCTTTCCTAATACCAAATCACCATGACTATTTTTAAGCATTAACCACCAATAAATCACCTGTGTAATTTTGCATGTAGAGCCCTTTGTGGGTAATGAAACCATCAAACATGAGGGAAAGGTAGGGAGAATAGAAAGGGCTAAAGCAAATTGGAGTTGGAGGGGAAAATAACACACTGTATCCCCGTGGTACCCACCTATCTCGTAAGGCATCTTGGGGTTATCACATCAGCCATGATCTTATCAAATGGTGGAGCTCTCTCAAATGGCCTACCTCTGCTCCAATTTTGTGTTTCCATGCATTTGCCATACTGTACCTGAGAGTGTGGTGGAGAGACAGATAGGCTTGAGGAGTTTCAACAGGATAATAATCTGAAAAGAGAGAAGTGGTTGAGTGGGTCTAGTTGTGCTGATTTTGAAGAGAGTCAGCATGGACATGATGAGCTTAATTGCCTCCTTCTGTGCTGTAATTATTCTGTCATCATATGTTGCCAACCCTAAGATTGTCTGTTTGTCCCTTCTCCAGTCTTTTCTCACTTCCAACAATTGGATTAGTTCATGCTTATGGGCAAAGTACTGTAGTGGATTGCCAATGTCCTCTACAGAATGACTGACCAGGAAGTCCCCACTTTTATCAGCTGTCGTCAGGTGTATTCAAATAATTTACACCTTGACAATAAACCTATTTGGCTATGTTCCGAAAGCACCTTCTGTGGCCCTCAAGTTCACAATCCAGAGATTCTGGCCCTGGTGTCATGACGCTATCCATGTGCCTCAACATCTCTTCTCCAAAGATTTCATTTTCAAGAAGGTTAATTTTATGATATATACACATCAAAATAGGAAACCTTAATGCTGATACTGAATGTCCAGAATGGGATGGTGTTCTGCTTCTAGCATTGACATCTATCACTCTTATAAAAATGTGAGACAGAAAAATACATTTAAAAAATTAAACTGAAGTAAATAAATGACTGTGTGATCGATTCCTGCCCTTTTTTTGTTCAATTAGGAGGGAAAAACAGCTTAGAACTGCTAGCTGATGATGAAAAAATTGTAACGTGTTAAGTTACTTCCTTGACCATTGCTTGCATCATTTGGGAAAGAATTATATTTAAGGCAGGAGCAGATTTAGTGGAGGTATACTAGCCACTATTCTATCGTTGTGCCTGAAGATGTTGCTGCAATAATTTATAATTGTATTATGGAGAGGTGACAGATAATTGGCACTAAATCATAATGCTCATTGGAGACCCAGTACAGACACAATAGGCTGAATAGCCTCCTTCTTCAACAATTCTGTGACTTGCTGTAAATCTACTGTTCCAATAGACTGCATGAAGGATGTACGAATTTTCAAAATATTGATCAAACTCACAGTTTCAGCTATTTCTTTCCTAATTGCAGGTTGAACTGCAGAAGATGAAACAACAGGCCCAGGACACCAGGATTTTCATTGAAAACCAGGAAACAGAGGAAAGAAAGCTGCTGCGAATTATTGATGAGGCTGACACAGAGAGGATTCGACAAAAGAAGGAGCTGGACCAGGTACATTGCACTGGACTGTATGAGATAGTTAATTATTCCATATTAAAACGGTGCAATTTGAATGTTTTAAAAATACAACTGGTGCTATATAAATATAAATGTTTACTTAATTGCTGGTTTTGCCAAAATAGCAGTTTTCGGTATCCTGTGTACTCTTATAGCATAATTGATTTTCTTTATTTTGTGTATTTTTAGTTTATTTCTACAGTAATTCTAGGTGTCAGACCTTCAAATTTGGTCAGTAATTGGGCGCAGGAGGGTGTGACTGATATGGGGATTGAGAAGGTAAAAGCTGAGGGTCCTCAGTGATTGAAATTATCTGACAAATTTGAGGTTCTTGCAACCTGTTTGGGCGAATGTAAAGGCGGCAGGGTGGGTGAGTGATTTGACCATGACACCGTACATGGGGCAGGAAGCCATTAAAGTGCTGGAGTAAATAGCAATGTAATGGCGGTAGAGAATTGAATAGTCAGGGGGATAGACAGTTCTCTGCAGCCAAGAACGAGACTCTGGAAGGTTGTGTTGCCAGCGTTCGGGACATGAGCTGGAGAGGGACTTGCAGTAGGAGAGGGATGATTCAGTGGTTGTGGTTCATGTAAGTATGGATAGGATCAGGGAAGAGTTTCTGCTGAATTAGGATAAGTGAGCAGGGTTTAAATTAAAAAGCAGAACCTCAAAGGTAATAGTATCTGAATTATTACCTTATGCATGAGTGAATTTGCACTGGGTAAACTAGAGTGGAGAGTTAAAGGGGGTTGCAAGTGCATAGCTGCTTAGAAGTGGCAACACAAACGGATAAAGAAGCCCTATAGCATGCTTGCCTTTGTCAGTTGGGGCATTGAGCATAAAAGTTAGCAAGTCACGTTGCAGCTGCACAGAACTTTGGGTAGGCCACACTTGGAGTATTGTGTGCCGTCCTGATTGTCACTTTGTAGAAAGGATGTGGTGCCTTTAGAGTGGGAACTAGCTATAAGGAGAGGTTGGACAAACTTGGATTGTTTTCGCTAGAGCATTGAAGGCTGATGGGCGACCTGATAGAAATATGGAAAGTTATGAGAGGTATGGATACGATGGATAGTTGGAATCTTTTTTCTCAGAGTGGCAATGTCAAATAATAGGGAGCATAGGTTTAAAGTGAGGGGGATGGGGGAAGTTTAAAGGAGATGTGTGAGCCCAGTTTTTTTAAACAGAGTGTAGGTGCCTTGATTGTGCTGCCAGGGGAAGGTGGGAGAAGGAGATGCAAAGTAAAGTTAAAGACGCATTTAGACAGACAGGTGAACAGGTAGGGAATAGAAGGATACAGACCATGTGCAGGCAGATGAGATTAGTTTAGAATAGCATCTTGGTCAGCACAGGCATGGTGGGCTGAAGGGCAATGGGTAAAGTGGAAGATGTTTCTTGAGACTGCTTTCACTAGAATGAGGCTGGGACCTCAGGCCACTTTTATATCTAGGGCAATAGGGAGGTCCTTTAACTTAATAGTGAGGCAAGGGATCAAGTGAGTGAAGAGACAATAAATTAAAGCGAGAGAGAGAGAGGACAAGGCAGAGAAATAAGGTTCTAGTAAGGAAAATGATAATTTGGGCATGGCATAAAGAGTCAGAGCATACAGACTTCAGAGTTCACTTTTAGATAAGGTTAGATGTTGCAAAATAATTAAAAGACAATTAAAGGCTTTATCATTGAGAATGAGGTGGCTGCTGAGATGGTGGAAGCATTAATTCATTCATTTTAATTTTCCCAAATCTCTAACTTCTGGAAATGGGCCATCAGATTGGAAAATAGTGAATGTAACTCCTCAGATCAAGAAAGGAGGTTATAGCAAGATACTTTGAAAATTTCAATGCAATCAGGCAATGTCAACATAGTTTAGTTTCTGCACTGTGTGTGAACATCATAAAATATGTCCTTATATGTCAAGAAGCTACTAGAGAGCTCATAGTCAACCCTGATCCCACTCTGACTTGTGATCTTTTTACGGGATTGATGGGTTGGTGGTAGGGGGAGGTGAATGGAATCATTGCTAAATGTTTTGTTGTTTTGTAATCATTAACCTTCCAGTCATTTTACCACCAGAGTCCCACAACCTGGCCAGAGCTCCCACCAAACAACATGTGGGGCTTTCATCGCTAGTCCAGCGTTTACTGTTACCACTCCTCAAGTTCCACCGATATTCCTCTGATTATGGTTTCTTGGACATTTTCCACACCCTTTGCTTCACTCTCCCATTGTTCTTTCATCTGCGTAGGCAGTACACGCTAGAATTCCCTCCCTAAACTTTGTTGCTTTGTATAACAGCAGTGTGAACGGATAACGGCTTCATACTGTTGGTGTAGTCTTAGTGTAAATGCAGCCAATGTTTCTTGTTGTGGAGGTTTTCAAATAAACCTGTTGGACTGTAACCTGGCGTCGTGTGATTTCTGAATGTTTCTTGTGGTATTCATGTGTAACATATACATTGTGCAGAAGCAGGGTTTTTTCATTTTATTTGCTGAAGTGACAGCCTATTTGAAAACAATTTTGTCCAATATTTTCCAAGCAGAGTCTTAATTTATAGGTTCATAATTATCCCATCATATTCCTATTAGCAAACATTAAGGGCCATTAAGCTTATTATGCGCCCTTAATTGCAGGGAAGCCTTCCTTGTTTTTTCAAGCTCAGAGCTTATGTAGCAACAGGATTGATTTCTGCTCACCTTCTTTACTGATGAGATAAGATTTCAGTATGTTTTAATGTTGTTTCTACAAGTAACATTGTTCTAACATCCCTGCCAGGTTATTAGCGAGAGAGACATTTTAGGCACCCAGTTGGTACGCCGTAATGATGAGCTGGCATTGTTGTATGAGAAGATCAAGATTCAGCACTCCATGCTAAATAAAGGCGAGATACAATACAGGCAACGTGTGCATGATATCCGACTGCTCCGTATGGAGATCAAAAAACTCAGAAGGGAGAAGCACCTCCTCAGCAAGACTGTATCTAATCTGGAGGACCTCAGGTAAAACTAGACATGCGAAAGCATTCGAAACCCAAAGCTTGGTTACATTTGTTGCCCAACTCTAAGGCCACCAGATCCAGTTAGAGGAGTCAACCACATTGCTACAGGTCTAAAGTCCCATTTAGACCAGGCCAGGTATGGGTGGGGGATAGAAGGTTTCCTTCTGTAAAGGACAGCAGCAAGCCAGTTGGGGCTTTGCAACAATCTGCAAGCTTCTTGGTCACTTGATACCAACTTTTTATTTACGGATTAGTTTTTAAACTGTATTTAAATTCTTATATTTACGTTGTCAAGTTTGAATCCATATTCTCTGGCATTTTAATCCACACGTCTAGCTGTTTAGTTCAGTAACATGATCACCACTCTATGATATACATAGAAAATGTTCTCTTAATTTAAAAAGAAGCAAGTTTCTTCTTCTTCTGCTGGTCTAGTGTTCTTCAAATTTTGGCAATCTTTCATCATCTGCCCAGGTAGCCATTCCCCATGTTGAGCTTATGCATTGGATGCTAGTGAATAGGTGAAAGTCTAATATATACACCCCACCCCTCCACCGACCCTTGATGATGATTGTAATGGTTAGGAAGGGGGCCCATTAATCAGGAGAGTGAGTAGCGGGTGAGGACTTCACCACTTTTCACCCCTCACAACCACCACTAATTTAAGCATGTGGCACGAAGGTGTGTGGACAGTCTTTCTGGGCTGCTGCCAACTGAAGTCCTTAGGTGTGCACTTAGCACACAGCAGTAGCCTGGGATCTGAGGGTTTGGATGGGTGAGGAACTGGGAACAGCACTGCTTCTCTGCTGGTGCTGCTGTTCACTAGAGTTGTTGGTCTCTGATTAAGCAGCAGCTCTCAGTGGGTGGGGCACCCATCTCCAGGGAATCCCTTAGTCTCATAGAAGGTCCACTGAATTGAGTGGACATCCTCCCACAGAACATATATGGGGTTCCTGCCAGTTGGAGAGCCTGTCCTGTCTCAACATGCTGATGTCTGATCCTGAGAATGCTGAATGTGCTTTTTGCTTTTCTCTCTTCAGGCCAGGGATGCTGAGGCCACTTAGAGCCCAAGTATTACTATTCTTTTCAGTTGTTCATTAGCTCGTTGAGCCGGTTGTTCTGTGGTGTGCAGATGTTTCATTACCCTTCCAGACAACATCATCAGTGCAATCTCTAATCGAAGCATTGGTGTTCTGCTTCCTTCCGGATTTATATGATCCTCTAGTGTGATGTGGCTTTGTTTTGTTATTTTAGCAGCGGTCTGTATACGGGGTCTATTTCTATGTGTTTGTTAATGGAGTCCTGTGTTGAGAACCAGGCTTCCAGAAATTCCCTTGCATGTTTGGTGTTCGCTTGTCCAACTATGGTCACTTTGTCCCAGTCGAACTGATGGCCCTCTTTGTCTGTGTGTATTGAGACAAGTGAATATTGGTCATGTCTTTCTACTGCCAGCTGGAGTTTGTGTATCCTGGTTGTCAGTTTCCTCTGTGTTTGTCCAATGTAATGTTTATCACACTTACTGCAAGGTATTCTGCATATGACGTTGGTCTTGTTTACTGTTGGTATGGGGTCTTTAGTCTTTGATAACATTTGGCGCAGTGTTGCTGTAGGTTTGTGTGCAATCATGATCTTTTGCATCCACAACCTGAGCTACAATTTTTTGCTGAGGCCTCATAATTACCATTCTTTTATTGAGATCGGCACAACTCATGGATTGAACCTGGAACCATCCTGTTGTATTTTTTAATATCATATGGTTTCATTAATTTGCATGCTTAACTATTGGCAGAGGTGTTGAATAATTTTGAGTAGATCAGATACAATTTCTGTGGATTTTCCAGAAGGCCACTGTAACTCTTTCCTTTCCAAGGGTATTATGCATTTTAAAAAGAAACATCCCTTCTGATGTGAGTTTCTCATCTTTTGTTTCCCCTTAGTGAATCTCTTCTATGCAGCTTAATGGTGTTGAAACGCTTACAATGCCTTAAAAATCTGGCCACATTTAAACTCCACTGCTATTGAAGGAATTTGAGCCTGGTATGTCTTGTTTCTGAAGGTTGCATGGCTTTGGGCTGGGAGGCTGTGTATATGAGATAACAAGGTGTAGGGCTGGATGAACATAGCAGACCAAGCAGCATCAGAGGAGCAGGAAAGCTGACGTTTCGGGTCTAGACCCTTCTTCAGAAATGGGGGAGGGGAAGGGGATTCTGAAATAAATAGGGAGAGAGGGGGAGGTAGATAGAAGATGGATGAAGGAGAAGATAGGTGGAGAGGAGACAGACAGGTCAAAGAGGCAGGGTTGGAGCCAGTAAAGGTGAGTGTAGGTGGGGAGTTAGGGAGGGGATAGCTTAGTCCAGGGAGGACAGACAGGTCAAGGAGGCGGGATGAGGCTAATAGGTAGGAAATGTGGGTGGGGCTTGAGGTGGGAGGAGTGGATAGGTGGGAGGACAGGTTAGGGAGGCGGGGATGAGCTGGGCTGGTTTTGGGATGCAGTAGGGGGAGGGGAGATTTTGAAGCTTGTGAAGTCCACATTGATACCATTGGGCTGCAGGGTTCCCAGGCGAAATAAGAGATGCTGTTCCTGCAACCTTCAGGTGGCATCATTGTGGCACTGCAGGAGGCCCAGGATGGACATGTCAACCAAGGAGTGGGAGGGGGAGTTGAAATGGTTCGCGACTGGGAGGTGCAGTTGTTTGTTGCGAACCGAGCGTAGGTGTTCCACAAAGCAGTCCCCAGGCCTCCACTTGGTTTCCCTGATGTAGAGGAGGCCACAACGGGAACAGCGGATACAGTATACCACATTAGCAGATGTGCAAGTGAACATCTGTTTGATGTGGAAGGTCTTCTTAGGGCCTGGGATGGAAGTGAGGGGGGAGGTGTAGGGGCAGGTGTAGCACTTCCTGCGGTTGCAGGGAAAAGTGCCGGGTGTGGTGGGGCTGGTGGGGCTGGTGGAGCGGACAAGGGAATCACGGAGAGAGTGTATATATTTTGATACACAAGGTATCGCTATTATGTGGGACAGGCTGGATAGAGCAGAATGTTTTACCTGTCTCATATTGTTCTTATGTCCATATGCCGTGGCTCTGGTGTGTATGAAGAGCTCTACTCTCAGTTGGTCAATGAACAGGTGGACTGCTGGCATTTTTTGAAAAAAAATTTTAAAACAATTATGGAAGATTTTTTAGGTTACACTGGGTCTCCTTGTTCATTTTTTAAATCTGAATTCACTGCTATACTCTTTGTGATTTGGAGAGTCCAAGTGATTAAGTGCCTATTCATAGGGAGGTCTCCCATGGCCAGAAAGTGGGATATAATGATATAAAATTGGCACTATAACAATATGCCTAAAGCTCTCCTTCTACATCAGAGCTCTACTTTTGTAGAAACTGCACTGGAAAATGGTCACTGAACTCAATAATTTGAATGAAATGAAATGTATAAAAGCACGACAAGTAAAATTAGAATAAATTGGACAGAATTTTTCTAAGCTGTTTAGTATTCTTTAGGGGACCCTAACAGTTTGTGATAAAATGGAATATCTAAACAGCTCATAGAAATCTCAACTGATGTACTGTCAGCATAAATATTGAACATCATAAGCAAGGCTGTTTTTTCCCCTTTCCTCTCTGTCTCCTAATTCATGAACTCAGTTTGCAACTCCAGTCTGTTCTGCAAAGTCCTGCTTCTCAGCAGAAAATTGGTTTTAAGTGGTCCAATAACTTTTCAGTATAAGTAGACACTTCCTCCATACTCAATAAATCAATTATTACTTACTGGTGAGAGAGTAACCTCATCCTTGAACGTGTTACAGATAAGAAGGAACTTAGTAACTAATGGCAGGATAACTTTTCAAATTTACTAAACCACACAAGCACATTCCCGGTTAATCAGCTCAAATATTTCCACGTGTGATGGCAGCTGTTCTGAATAACTTCATAAGCTTTTCAAACAGCTGAAGAACGAATTTGCACAAGGAAAAGAAGTTATGGTAACTAACCCTTTCACCCTGCCCTATCTCTTTATCTCTCTATGTTTTGACTGATAGACCAGATGGTAGTGTTCTATAATATGTCAAGGTTCACTTTTTTTATTTTCTAACTTCCAGTTTACAAACCCTGCTTGCTCCCACTCTGATCTCTCTGTCCTTGGTACTCAGTGCAAGATGACGGACTAACACCTCACCTTACCACTAAGCATTTTGTCTTAACAACTTCACACAATTACAGTTCCTATTTTGTCTCTGCCAATAGTACTGATAATTGAGGATCATGTATCAGTACATTGTTCTAATTCACTTATGGGACGTGGATATGGCTGGCTGGTCCAGTATTTATCATTTATTGTTCATCCCTAGTTGATCTTGAGAAATTGGTGATGAGTTGCCTTCTTGAACCGCTGCTGTTCCTTTGTCTTAAGGACACCACTATGCTGTTTAGGAGATAGTTCCATGATTTTGACCTGGTGACAATCAAGGAATGGCAATATATTTCCAAGTCTGGATGGTAAGTGGCTTGGAGGGGACCTGCAGGTGGTGGAATTCCCATGTATTTACTGCTTTTGATCTGCTAAAAGGTAATGGTTGTGGGTTTTGGAAGGTACTATATAAGGACACTTGGTAAATTTCTGCAATGCATCTTATAGATGGTGCACATTGCTGCTACTGAGTGTCATAGATGGGGGGAGTAATCTCAGATTCTCCAGCATCTGCAGTTCCTACTATCTCTGAAGCACAGCATCCAACTAGCTCATAGCAAACTCCCAGAATCGGCAATGTAACAATTACAAGATAATCTATTTTGGTGATGTAGACTGAGGGATAACTAAAGAAACTGGGCCTAGGTACTTTTGGATCTAAGTCGGTGCTGTAATTGGCGATGTATAAACTTTTCACTATACTCATTGAGAATATGTGACAATACAGGCTATTCTATTCTCCATTGTATTCTATAAATATTGTCCAGAACACCAAGACCGTGTCCCTTGAACATCTTTGGATCAGTG